GCAAGGATAATCTCTCTTTTGACTACTTTAAAGGACATTAATCACATCTGTAAAACTACTTCACCTGTCACAAAACATAACCTAATCAGAGGACTGATATGCTATCATATTTACAGATTCTTCTGCACTCAAGAAGAGGGGATTATATAAGGCATGTACACCAGGAAATCAAGAATCTTAGGGGCTATTTAGAATTCTGCCTACCACAGTAGGCCCTTTGGCCTCCAACAATTTGTGTTCCTTCCAAAGGGGAAAAAACTTCCTCCCTCCTGAGGTTTCCCCCATCTTCTTACAGCATCAGCTCAAAATCCAAACTCTCATCGTCTGAATTATCTATATCTGGCGAAGATGAGGCTGGGTGTGATCCATTAAGCTCAGTTCTTCGAAGTACAATTCCTTTCTGTGGACCTGTGAAACTAGAGACAAGTTTGCTCCCAACACTCCATCACACAATGGTGGGACTGACATAGAATAACAGTTACAGACACATCAATACAAAAATGGGGAAAGGGACTAAGGAAATGGAAGGTAAAAATGAGTCACTGGTGTATAACAATTCTGTCATTCATCTGGACAAATGTTGGATTTTTACTGATTAAGTTTTAAGATCTGGGAATAATCTTCCTTGACTTTCAACCTATGCTTTGGGCTCTTGGTTCCATTGTGAGTCATTCTTGCTTTTACATGGAAGGTAGCACATGTTTGATTAAGCTTATCAGCCTGCTTCCTACCAATAGGATTTTGCTAGCTCTAAAAGCTCCTGCTTGCTCACGAGTTCCAAAGCCAATTCTCTGATTTGTCCTCCCCAAAGACAGGGTCTCTCTCTGTCACCCAGGCTGGATTGTGGTGGTGAAATCAATAGCTGACTGCAGCCTCAAAGTCCTGTGCTCAAGTGATCCTCCTGACTCAGCCTCCCAAGTACCTGGGACTACAGGTGCACACCAGCACAACTGGCCCACATTTGTATCAGTGTTTTATTGCTCCAAATAACCACAGATTTAGCAGCTTAAAACAAAACAGTTATTATCTTATCATTTCTGTAGGCCAGAAGTCCAGGCGCAGCTTACCTGGGTTCTCTGCTTCAGGGTCTCACCAGGCTGCAATTCAGATATTTTCTAAGGCTACATACAGCCTCATCAGAAGCTCAACCTGGGAAAGATTCACTTCCAAGTTCATTCAGATTGTTGGCAAATTTCAGTTCTTTGGACCTGTAGGACGAAGGACAAATGTCGCTGGTAGTAATTCATATCATAGCAGCAGCTGGCTTCCTTTTTTTTTTTTTTTTTTTTTTTTCTTTTTGAGACGGAGTTTCACTCTTGTCACCCAGGCTGGAGTGCAATGGCGCAATCTCCACTCACTACAACCTTCACCTCCCGTGTTAAAGGAATTCTCTTGTCTCAGCCTCCTGAGTAGCTGGGATTACAGGTGCCTGCCACCACACCTGGCTAATTTTTGTATTTTTAGAGGAGACAGGGTTTCACCATGTTGGCCAGGCTGGTCTCGAACTCCTGACCTCAGGTGATCCGCCTGCCTTGCCCTACCAAAGTGCTGGGATTACAGGCATGACCCACTGCACCCAGCCTAGCAGCTGGCTTTTTCAAGGCAAGCGGGAAGGTCTTTCTCACTCCAGTTGGCTGAGACCAAGTCTTTTATAACATAACAGTCGTGGGAATGACATTTCATCACCTTTGCTATATTCTGCTGACTAGAAGCAAATTCATAGGTTCCAACCACACTCATGGGGAGGAGATTATACAAGGACATGATTCATTGGAGTCCACCTTAATATGCGTACACTCATTTCCCTTTGTCTCCATTACCCTCTTCAATCTGAGAAAAACACCTCACGCCTTTCAAATTAGTATCCCTAGTATTTGGCATATAGCCTGACATACAGGAGCTCTAAATAATAATCCAAAGCTGCAGCTATCAAAGTTTTGGTTTGGGGACCCCAGTATCCTCTTAAAAACATTATTGAGGACCTAAAAGAGCTTTTGTGTACATAGATTATATCTATTAATACTGAGGGTTTTAAAACGTATTCATTCAAAAGTAACAATAACTCATTATGTGTTAACAGATATAGCATTTTTTAAAATAATTATATTTTCCAGAAAATTTGTGAGAACATTGCTTTACATTTTTGTACTTTTTTTTAATGCCTGGTTTAGTAAAAGGCAGCAGGATTCTCATACCTGCTTCCACATTCAATAATCATGCCTGGGTATGGTGTCTCATGCCTATAATCCCAGTGCTTTGGGAGGCTAAAGCAGGAGGATCACTTGAGGCTACGAGTTTGAGACCAACCAGGGAAACACAGAGAGACCCTGTCTCTACAAATAAAATGAAATAAAAAATTATTTATGCCTGTAGTCCCAGCTACTCAGGAGGCTGAGGTGGGAGTATCACTGAAGCCCAGCAGCTTGAGATTACAGTGGGCTATGATCACACTACTGTACTCCAGCCTGGGTGACAGAATGAGCCCCTTTAAGACAACAACAACAACAAATCTCATATAGCCTCTGGAAAACTCCACTATACGCAAATGAGAGTTTAAAAGGCAAATAATGTCTTCACATTATTATGAATATAGTTTGACCTTGTGGGCCCCCTGTAGGGATCCAGATCAGTCTTTGTGAACCACTAATTTAAATACTTGTCATGCATTGAGAAAAGGGACTTGGATTCATTCGAGAAGTATTTACTGGGTCCTACTGTGTGCTGGGCATTGTTCAAAGCAGTCAACTAGATAGATCAGGTGTCTGTCCTCAGGTTGTTCACAGCAGGTGGGGTAGAAGGATCAGGGACAGCTGGAGTTGACATTTGAGCTGAGATTTTATTTGATTTGACTTTTTTTTGGAGCCAGAGTTTCGCTCTTGTTCTGATGTGCAGTGGTGTGATCTCGGCTCTCTGCAACCTCCGCCTCCCGGGTTCAAGTGCTTCTCCTGCCTCAGGCTCCCCAGTAGCTGGGATTACAGACGTCCGCCACTACGCCCAGTTAATTTTTTGTATTTTTAGTAGAGATGGGGTTTCACCATGTTGGCCAGGCTGGTCTCGAAGTCCTGACCTCAGGTGATCCGCCCACCTCTGCCTCCCAAAGTGCTGGGATTACAGGTGTGAGCCACAGCGCCCAGCCCAAGCAGAGATTTAAGAGACAAAGGGCAGGCCTATGCAGAGGTCTGGGGAAACAGTGTTTCAGGCAAAGAAAGGGGGCCCTCCAAAGTCTCTGAGCCCTGTCTGGTAAGAGAGCAGCCAGAAGTGAGGGTGGTTTGAGGTTGCAGAGGTGGGTAGGGCCACATTGAGCTAGGCCCAGGTAAGGAATTTGAAGTTTTAACTCTAAATTTCTTTTTTTCCCTCATTCTAAAACCATCCCAATAAACTTTATAAAAGTAATCAGGGAAGAAAGTGTGGGGGAGGGGACAAAAATAAACCAAACGTGCTGCCAATTGGGCATTACTCATGAGGTCAGCTTCCTCTCTGACCTCCTTGCCCACAGTTGTTTGGTGCCTATCGTCCTAACATCATGCAGACCCTGTCACAAGATCATAGTTCTTTTCGATGGCTCTATAGAGAACAACTTGAACATTATGAAATACTAAGTTTTCCCTTTGAGATAGTCTTTCAGGTCCTGCATACCAACGAAACTACTGCCTCAGCTGGCCTGAAGGATCCCACTGATGCCAGCTGGCCTGAGGAACCCCATAAGAAACTGATTCAGCAAAGAATGCAGTTTCCCTATCCTCATGATTTCATCTCCCTTACTCCGACCAATCAATGACCCCAATTTTCCAGCCCCTCGCCCTGTGATCCTCTTAAAAATCTCAGCCCAGAACTCTTGGGAAGATGGATCTGAGGATCTCTTCCCACCTCTTTGCTAAGTGCCCTGCAATCATTTAACCCGTTCCCTGCTGCAAACTCTGCTGTCTTCGTGTAATGGGTTTGTTACTGCACAGCAGGCATACGAACCTGTTGATCCTGTATCTCTATCACCAGGATGGAGGGCAGAGGCGGAGGCAGCCTCCACCTCTTGGGCTCAAGAGATCCTCCTGCCTCAGCCTCCTGAGTAGTTGAGACTACAGGCGTGCACCACCACCCCTGGCTAATTTTGGGTTGGTTTTGTTTGTTTGTTTGTGTTTGTTGAGATGAAGTTTCGCTATGTTGCTCAGGCTAGTCTCGAATTCCCGGTCTCAAGTGATCCTCCAGCCTCGGCCTCCGAAAGTGCGGGAATTACAGGCAGAAGCCACCATGCCCGGCTAAAAAGTGAAATCTCTTGACGGCGAAGAGAAATAAGAAGAGGGGTATAATGGCTAAAGGATGTCTGTCTGGAGGCAAAGAAGGTCGCCCAGAGGTCAGGCACGCGCCCCTCGGTGGACACAGCTGGGCTTCTCAGAGACTCCTAAACCCTGCCTCGCATCTCAAATCGGCTTAAGTATGCGAAAGAGCTGGGCGACGCGCGCGCACTCTCGGGGAAGCTTGAGTCTCGGCGCCCGCCGTAGACGTCGTGACAGAGGCGGCCCGTTGCCGTGGAGCCAGAGAAACGCGGCTGGGCCTCCACCGCTGTGGAGACGGCCCGCCGCGGGCCTTGTTCACCATGTCGGTGCTGGATGCGCTTTGGGAGGACCGGGATGTCCGCTTCGACCTGTCCTCGCAGTGAGTCTCCAAGATTCCCTAGGGGTCTGCAACCCTGTAGAGGGCGCCGCGGTGCGCGTTAGGGACCCGCGGGCGGAGTCTGCACCTCCGCAGCTCGCGGCCCTGGCGAGGGTGGGAGGCTTGCGCCGGTAGTCTGCGCCTGGAGAGACCCCAGGCTGGTTGGGCCACTGTGGCCCTCCCGAGGCGGGCGCCGCGGCAAGAGCGCATCTGGATTACACAGTTTTGGTCCCATACGACCTCCGGTCCCCCATCCTGGCCTGCGGGACGGATCAGGAATGTGAACCTGAGCACGACCGGGGCCACGCGGCGCTTGGCGTCCCGTATACACCCACGTGAGCTTGGGATTTCAGTTTCATGGAAGGAGCGTAGGTCAGGAGCTCAGGAAACTAGGGTTCTAAAACTAGATGTGTAATATCGACACACAGTGTGGGCCCTTGGACAGAGGTCTTCATCATTCAAGCTAGAGTCCTCATGTCTGTAAAATAAGGGAGGTGGGAGTAGGCTGTCTTCAAAAATTCCTAACCACGCAAACTTTATGTCCTTGGTAAGCTTTCACTAGTTATTCACATAAATCACCAACAAGAAGGAGCCTTCTTCTGCAGCCTGTTCTTGGAAATTATCATACTTTAAATAGAAGCCCTGTTTTTGGAAAGTATCGTAAAGAGAAAGTGGATAAAAACCTCCTGCCCCAAAATCCAAGGCAGGAAATGCTGGTTGGCATTTCTAATACTAAGTGTTGAGAAACGCTAAAGCTAAGATTCCTGGATTAATTACATGGAGCTTCTTAGCTACTTCTTATAGCTCCTTATCATGGACCTCCCCTCCTTAGATGGAATCGTTCCTTATCATGGACCTTACCTCCTAAGATGGAAAAATGAAATATTGATACATTTCCTAGATTAAGTAGAGGCTAGATATCTAATGCTAACATGTTAGGCCTTTTAAGAAGAAGAAAGAGAAAGGAATTCGTAAAATTGCGGACTATAGTAACATATTGCGCACATTCTATGATATTTTTTGTCTTTCTTATAGGGTTCTTAATCCAAAAAAAGTCCGTTTCGTTAACATTAGTAAACATTTATCAGTGCTTACTATGTGCTAGTTACTGTGCCGATAGCTAGAGACAGAAAATAATGGGAAATGATACTCATATCCCCCCATTCTCATGCAGAAGATACATATAGACAACTACTATAATAAATGTGGTAAGTACCATTCTGAAAAAAAAATGAACGAAAAACTGAGACTCATAGAAACAGAACAATTTATTCTGCCTGGTGAAGTCCTTGAAGAATAAATATTCATACTGTTTGAGCTGGTCCCTGAAGAATGGGCAGAGCCTTGTCAGGGTAAACAGGAGGCGAGTATTCCAGAAAAGAAAAAAAGAATTAAGCGTTAGAAGCAGAGTCTTGGAGCTGTGACCTCATTGGCTAAAGGCAAGGTCTGCTGCAGAGAGGTTGGAGGTACAAATAGATAAATTAGCCAGATTGTGACATTTTTAGCGCAGGATTTTGGACTTAACAACTTCTAGGCAGCGGGAGGGTATAGAAGGCTTTTAAGCAGGGAAATGATATGGGCATATATATCTGTATTTTCAATAGGTAATTGAGTTGGCTCTATGAAGAGTGTATTAGAAGGCTCTTTTAGATAGTTTGGTAAGTTTTTGGACACTGTCGAATCTATTCTATCAGTCAGCAAGGTGCTCTTGTTTCCTTTTGTCACCTGTATCTATTTATCTATTTGCCAAGGTCCGAAGATGCTTTTCATACAGCGTGTTTTTTTTGTTTTTGTTTTTGTTTTTTTTTTTTTTTTGTGAGATGGAGTCTCCCTCTATTGCCCAGACTGGAGTGCAGTGGCATAATCTTGGCTCACTGCAACCTCTGCCTCCTGGGTTCAAGCGATTCTCCTGCCTCAGCCTCCTGAGTAGCTGGGACTACAGGTGCCTGCCACCACACCTGGCCAATTTTTTTTTTTTTTTTTTTTGTATTTTTAGTAGAGACAGGGTTTCACCATATTGGCCAGGCTGGTCTCAAACTCCTGACCTCATGATCCGCCCACCTCGGCCTCCCAAAGTGCTGGAATTAGAGGCATGAACCACCGCACCCAGCCCATACAGCTCGTCTTTAACCATTCCTTCCATAATTTTCTGATGTCCTTTCCTCTACTCAGAAACCTCTGAAGGTTCTCTCCTGTCCACAGGATAAGGCCTAAATCTATCAGACTGGCATTCTGAGTTCTCCATAGTCTGGTTCCTCCTTAGTTATCCAACAGTATTTCTCTCACTACCTCCCAATATGGTCCTTCTTTCCTAGCTTGACTAGCCTTCTCCCATGTCCTTACCATTTCTTATTCCTGGTCTTTAATCAGTACTCTTTTCTTTTCCTTTTATTTTTCAAAATTCAACACCTCCTGCCAATCTGGCTTACTCCAGATGGCCCTGATCACTCCAGGCCCCACTGATCTGCAGGTTCTTGAAGTTCTTGAAGACCTTATTTCTAAATACGTGAACATTTGGTACAGTATTATTTATGCTGTTAGCTGTTTTATGTACATATGTCTCTTTTCTCCCTAAATAGATTGTAAGCAGGTATAGTTGTAGCTGTAAAATTCAAACCTTTATATTCACCTTAGGCAAATGAAAACAAGACCTGGAGAAGTCCTTATTGATTGTTTAGATTCAATTGAAGACACCAAAGGAAATAATGGAGATAGAGGTGAGTATATTTTTAAATGTATTTTATATTCCTGGTTTAATTTACAAATGTTGAATCATATTAACTAGAGAATATATGAAACAGCATCATTTGTCAGTGTAATTGTGAGAAGGGGAGAGTTAAATTCACATAAGACTTTTCTCAGATTTAAACAGAAGAAAGGATAGGTATTAAACATGTAGTTTGGTCATTCAGTAAGTCCTGGTTCTAACATTACGTTTATCCAACGTAACTGTTAAAACTCAAGTAGACCTGTTTGCAAGGGGCATTAGTTCTGACCATTGGATCTGTCTTTCCAAAAAAAGGATATGGGGTAGTGAAATATAAGTAGGTCATAGCTCTGGTACCTGGAGCCATGCATCCTTTTTAAAAATTCAGGAGTAATGCACCATCAATCACCTCTGGTTGTCACCTAGGTGGACATGTGGGGAGCAAATTTAGTCCTGCACTGTGAAATCTATTTGTAGGTCAAGTACTAGAAAATCCTGTGAGACTTCTCCGACTGTCACCGAGGACCAGCACAGCTGGACCCTAGAGCCCCTCCCAAACCAAATCTCCCCAAGGTTGGCACTTTTAAAAGTCCAGCCTGCCCATAGCAGCTATCTGGAGCCAGTGACCAGTAGGTCTTGGAAGCATCATTACTTCCAAGGAAAAAAAATAGAAGATGTGGAATGGCAGCTTAATGTATCCAGCATATGTTTTAGGGGGAGAAGTTTAGGAGGGAGGGATGTAAACCTCTTATTAGAAAGGGGTAGGTGGGGAAATAGAGCAGACTTCATTCAGGAAAGGAGGAATCAATAAATCATAGAGAAGGAATGGTAACCCTTATTGGCAGAACATGCTTACTGTAGCCCTTTGAGTGGCTGCTTGCTTCCTGAGACTTTCTTCTGATCTGCTCTGGGGTGGCATGTAGGCAGCAGGCCCTGTTGTAAGCCTTTCTTCTCTGAGGGTGGTTCCCCTCAGAGACCTTATTTTTAAATGCATGAACTTTTGGTACAGTATTATTTATGCTGCTGGCTTTTATGTACATATGTCTTGAACTCCTGACTTCAAGTGATCCACCTACTTCAGCCTCCCAAAGTGCTGAGATTACAGGCATGAGCCGCTGCTCCCGGCTAATGTACATATGTCTCTTAATAGAGACATATTAGATAGTAAATATGTCCCTAATAGATGGTAAGCAGGTATAGTGGTAGGTATAAAATTCAGACTTTCATATTCATTTTAGGCAAATGAAAACAAGACCTGGAGATTTTATTGATTGTTTAGATTCAGTTGAAGACACCAAAGGAAATAATAGAGATAGAGGTGAGGGTGGTTCCCCTCAGAGAAGAAAGGCTTACAAAGGGGCCTGCTGCCTACTTGCCACCACCTACAGGCAGATCCTTTTAGTGATTAGGGCCCATCCTTAAAGTAATGCTTAGATCATACTTCTGACAGGTTCAGATAAGAGTGGAATATGAAGATCTAGCAGCAAACAAGAAGTCTTAGTTTGTGCTTTTGAGGGTGGAATAATAATCCCAGCTATCAAGATGGCTGTATTTTGACAAAATCTGAATTAACTTGAGAAAGCCAAGAGAAAGTCCCATACAGATTGGCAGGAACTCTTAATAGAACATTTTTCGATTCTTCAGATACTCATTGAGTGCAGAATCCTGTACTAATACTTTAGAGTAGGAAGGGCAGAAAGCCTCTCTGACCAGAAATCTCCAGTGCCTGAAATCCTACTATTAATAAAAATAGGCCAACTACACTGGCTCTTGCCTGTAATTCCAGTACTTTGGGAGGCCAAGATGGGAGGACTACTTAAGGCTAGGAGTTAGAGACCAGCCTGGGCAACATAACAAGACCCTGTCTCTACAGAAAATAAAAAGAATTAGCCAGGTGTGGTGGCGTGCGCCTGTGGCCCCAGCTACTGGGGAGGCTGAGGTGGGAGGATCACTTGAGCCCAGAAGGTTGAGGCTGCAGTAAGCCATGTTCATGCCACTGCACTCCAACCGGGGTGATAGTGCAAGACCCTGTCTCAAAATAAAAGTAGAAATAACTGTGTGTGTGTGTGTGTGTGTGTATGTGTGTATGTATGTGTGTGTGTGCGCGCCAGACCTCAAAAACCTTTAGAAATTTTACAGGAGTACGCAGCGCTTCTGGTCGTTAAGGAGTTAAAAAATGGAAGGGGAATCCTGCCTTCTAGCCATCTCCTTCCCCTCCCTTTCAGCAGTTTAAAAATGACCAAGTTAAGACATCGCCAAGTTCAAGAGCCCCCTATGTTAAAACTGTATCCCAGAAGATTAGCACATTTAATCCATTTTCAACTATTAGTACCCTGACTTGAAATTATCAGATTAGCTTTGCCCATAGCTCATAGCCCAGTTATAGAGATAAAATGTTGCTTAGGTGTAAAATGGCGTAAGGAAAACATAAACAATGTATCTATGATCAGAAAGTCAGTTATAGAAATGAGTTTGTAAAGGATTAAAATATTGTATTAAAAGGCTGTGTGAGAAAAAAAGGGACAGCCATATTTCAGTGTTTGGGAGATTAGCAGAAACAGGGACAACTATATTTTGGTGTTAGGCAGGATAGAGAGGAAAGTCCATGTCTGGAACACTGGTTTTGGAGCTGTATAGGCTGGGGTTCTTCAGCAGAAAAGAGGTAGCATTAAAAATCCTAGAGATTGTAGGAGATACACCAAGAGCAAAGAAAAAGGCAAACAGAGGTGGTTGGTGGTTTTATATGGCAAACCCTTCCCACTCCATAATTTCTCCTGGGACTGACATAAAAATGTAAAAGAATCCATAGATGTCCTGAGCCCATAGCACATTTGTAGAGAGAAAATGTTGCCTAGGTAAAATGGCATAAGGAAAACCGGTGTATCTATATTTTTAAAAAAAAAATGTCAAAAATGAGTTTGGAAAGGATTATTTTTAAAATAGCTGTTATTTGGGGAATGTTTATTGACAGTCACTGTTCTGAATCTTTTATATAAATGTAATCTCATTTAACAATAATGAAAACAGTAAAACAAAAAATTTAAAGTAGATGCAGTCATATTTATTTTCAAATGAGGAAACTGAGGAATAGAGAAGTTAGTTTACTTTTCTAAGGTCACGTAGCTAGGTGATGAACCTAACTGCCTACATTGATTTCTAAACTGGTAGGGTCATTATTCTCTTCTCAAAAATTTTTAGTCCTCCCTAATTCCAATCCTAAACCTCACCCCCAACTCTACTGCCTCCATTCCTAATAGATCTAAGTCTGAACTTATTTGTCTAGCATTGAAGAACTTCTAGTATGTCCAAAAACAACTTTTATCACCTGTGCTGCTGTCTTCCATTTGTCCATCCAGGTCCGGCATTCTTATCCACGCTTTTCCCCTTGCCCTGGAAAGATAACTGGTGTAGAGTACATCTAAGGGTTCCTTGTACACTCTTGCTTCCAGTTGGAAGAGCCGTGGCAGAAGATCAAAAGGAGGCAGGAGTATGAGGTCTGGGTATTTATTGCCCTGGTTCCTTCCCAATGAAGGGCTAGCTGTGTTTTTCCTCTCAAAGCAGTCAGCTCCATAGGACTCTTGTTTCTTCCAGATTTCATGAACTGCTGCTCCTTCTTTTGTAAATAAACCTCAGTTATCCTAACTTGAGTGTGCCATCTGTTTTCCATTGGACCAATAACTGAAGGATATTGTACCTAGTCTTCTATGATCTTGTGTGAACTTTATAATCCAGCTATGCTGGGTTACTTATTGTTTGTCAAACATATTCTGTAATTTTCCACAATCTCCCTTGAGAATGTGTTCATCTTTTTTAGAGCCACATTTGCTATCCAGTTTCACTCAAGTATTCATACAGACCTAGTTTCACTGATTTTAGACATTGTAGAGGTTTTCAGAAATAGTATAATCTGGCTGGCTGTAGATTACTCATAAAAAGAATTTTATGATTGTAATTTGTTGGTGAAATAATGTGTTTAAACAAAGTGAGTCTTATTATTTCAGAATATCTCAAAGCTATGATAATATGCTAATTGTATTGTACATCTCTAATACACCTAGTATGCCATTCTCAAATTTATTGTTTTTTTCTTGGAGCATCAGTAAGGGATCACTATTGTACAGGACACATTTTGAGAAATGAAGTATCTAACTTTGTATTTCAGTGTATGAACATCAGGCTGATGCTAAGATCAAAAAATATAAAACCTTAAATAGACTTCAGCCTGACCATAACTTCTTAAGAACAAAATAGTTTGCTCACAGCAAAATTATGTGTATAAATATATGGTTGATTTAAATGAGAACTGCTAAGAAAGTACTCATATAGCAAGGATTAGCGTGTGTGTGAGAGTTCTTTGAAAAGTGTGATTTCAGTAAATAGCTGTGTAATTATCCTATATTCATTCTCAGTTGTACACATATGACTTGCTGGGACCCAGAACAGCTTCTACCAAGACAAAAAAACTAGTACACAATTCTTTCCTCAGTCAGTTTGAGTTAGAGCAAAGCTATTGGCAGAGAACATCTGTATCCCTTATATAACTGTCAAATTTTGTTTCTCTGGGATTCTGAATCATATATTGTATACCTTATATAGGTTGGATATGCACAATATTTTCAGTTAGTAAATATATGAAAAATATCTGAGTGTTGCTTCTGGTACTGGGCCAGAAGTTCCATAACCACCTCATTCAGTGCTGCAAAAATGAGTTCTTATTTAAGTTAACCTATTTTTTGTCTGTGTGCTTTTAGGTAGACTCTTGGTAACAAATTTAAGAATTCTCTGGCACTCTTTGGCATTATCAAGAGTCAATGTTTGTAAGTATCTTTGTTAGATAAGTCTGAAGAAAAAAGATCCTTCGTCAGGTGAATTTGCATGGTGCCTTTGATACCAAAGAAGTATGTAGAAATCTTAAGTTAATAAAAATAAAACACCTTCAGAAATCCTAGACATCATAATGCAAACGAAATTATCCATTATTATTTTTGTTTGTCCATTTTGTGTCTTGGACATATGTGAGATTAGGGCTTTAACCTTGGTTCTTGTTTTTTGATTATTTTTGAGAACATGCTATCCCTTGTTTTAATTAATCCCAAAGAAGGAAGAAGCTCTGATAAAAGTATAAGCTTTTCATTGTGTTAAATTTTGTTTCACTTATTTTTTAAAAGTATTTTAGATTATCCAGCTAGACTTGTTCTTTTTTAGTAGTAGTGCTAAAACTTTCAGTAAAGAATGCTGCAGAGGCTTTTAGGGATGAAGACTTCTTTTTTCCTGTGTTATATTTTTATGTGTTCAAAGAGACAGAATTGACCCTCTAGTTTTTTTAATTATTTAAATTTATAGTTATTTCTGTAAAACTTTTAAAAGTTTATTTCTATATATGTTTAATTTTTTAAACTGTTAAAAGTTCTGCATATACCTATTTTTTTTTAGAAAAGTATTTTTTCTCAGTGTGCCGTATCATGCTCTTTACATTCTTTGCTTTTGGATTTTAGCTGTCGGTTACAATTGCATATTGAATATTACAACACGGACTGCTAACTCTGTAAGTCTAAAAAATCTTATTGAAATATATATATATATAAAAGAAACTAGATATTTGAGGTTGATTTTTTTTTTCACTATAAAGGAGAAATTGCTCTTAAAATCTGAACTTTTAAATAAATTTGTCCTTACAGAAATTACGAGGCCAAACTGAAGCTCTTTATATACTAACAAAATGTAACAGTACTCGTTTTGAATTTATATTTACAAATTTGGTTCCTGGAAGCCCTAGACTTTTTACTTCTGTGATGGCAGTACACAGGTATAGTAATACTTTGTGGATTATTGAATATTTTTAGTTTATGGTTTTAGACTGCAATAGTCCCCAACCTTTTTGGCACCAGGGACCACTTTCATGGAAGACAGTTTTTCCACGGATTGGGTAAGGGTATAGTTTCGAGATGATTCAGGTGTATTACATTTATTGTACTTTATTTATATTATTATTATGTACTCACCATAATGTAGAATCAGTGGGAGACCTAAACTTGTTTTCCTGCAACTAGATGGTCCCATCTGGGGTGATGGCAGACAGTGACAGATCATCAGGCATTAGATTCTCATAAGGAGGGCACAGTCTAGATCCCTCGCACGTGCAGTTCACAGTAGGGTTCGCATTCCTATGAAAATCTAATGCCGCAGCTGATCTGACAGGAGGCAGAGCTCAGCTTTTCTTGCTCACTCACCCCCTAACCACTCACCTCCTGCTGGGCAGCCTGGTTCCTAACAGGCCACTGACCAGTACCCCTCTATCGGTGGCCCGGGGGTTCAGGACCCCTGTTGTAGAGAATAAAGCTTAGAAGTGTGGTACCATCTTCCTCCAAGCTCTGTTGTAAACATCAGAAGGATATTGAGAAGAACATGTTCTATTATCATTTAATAAACACTTTGAAGGTATTTATAAAACACATAAAACTACTGAAGATTCATTAAAAACTTCTACCGGATTAAATTAGCTACCAAGGTAGGTAAAGTGAAATAAAGAATTCATTCAATATAGCTAAACAAGTTGCATAATTAATTAATTTAAAGGATTATTTTTCTAGTAGGTAGAAGGCATGTTTGAGTGTTTTCCCTGAAGAGTTTTATTGGTATTTTGGTTTGTTTTAGGTTTGTAGCCTTTTTTTTTTTTTTTAAATAGAGGTAGTGTCCTGCTTTGTCACCCAGGCTGGAGTATAGTGGTGCAATCATAACTCACTGAAGCCTCAAACTCCTGAGCTCAAATGATCTTCTTGCCCTAGCTTCCTGAGTAGCTAGAACTACAGGTGCGCACCACCCTGTTCTGCTAATTTTTTAAATGTTTTTCTAAAGCCGGACGTGGTGGCACACGCCCATAATCCCACCACTTTGGGAGGCTCAGGCGGGTGGATCATTTGACATCAGGAGTTCAAGACCAGCCTCACCAACGTGGTGAAACCCTGCCTCTACTAAAAATACAAAAAAATTAGCTGGGCATGGTGGTGCATGCCTGTAATCCCAGCTACTCAGGAGGCTGAGGCAGGAAAATCGCTTGAACCAGGGAGGTGGAGGTTGCAGTGAGTTGAGATCACTGCACTGCACTTCAGCCTGGGCAACAGAGCGAGACTCTGTCTCAAAAAAAGAAAAATTTATTTTTTGTAGAGACCGGGTCTCACTTTGTTGTCTAGGCTGGTTTCCAACTCCTGGGCTCAAGTGATTCTCCTGCCTTGGCCTACCAGAGTGCTGGGATTACACATGTGAGCCACTTCACCCAGTCTGTTTTGTTTTTATATTTTTTCTTCTTGTTGTTTGCTAAATTCTTTTTACTACCTCGGCTTTTTTTCTTTTTTAAACCAGCCCTAAGTGCTATGATTTTTTTTTTAAGCTTTGCTAAGATGACAGGATATACACACATATGTATGTGTATATATGTGTGTATATAATTGTGTGTGTATGTGTATATATGTGTGTATTCGTTTAATTTGTATTTGCCAGTGAAGTTGACATTTTTCATATATTTTATGTATTTTTTGGCTTCTTATAAATTTCTTAATTATGCCCTTAGCTGTCATATATATTGCAAATATTATTTTTAGTTTCCTAGTTTGTTATTTGATTTTTAATTTTATTGATGTTTTGATCTATATAATGGTTTAATTTTTAATTAAGATATAATTCACATAAAATGTTACATAAAATTTACAATTTTAAAGTATACAGTTTGATAGTTTTAGTATATTCACAGTACTGTTCAACTATTGCCAAGATCCAATTCCAGAATATTGTCAGCACTCCCAAAATAAACCCCTTACCCATAGCAGTCATTCTCCATTCCCTCCCCTCCACAGCCCCTGACAACCTCTAATTTATTTTGTGTCTCTATGGATTTGCCTATTCTGGAAATTTCATTTACATGGAATCATACAACATGTGGCCTTTTATGTCTGACCTCTTTCACTTACACAGTGTGTTCAAGATCCATCCATGTTGTAGCATATATCAGTAGTAGTAGTAGTTCATTCCTTTTTGTAGCTAAAGAATATTCCATTGTATGGGCATACCACATTTTGATTATCTGTTCATGAGTTGATGGACATTTGGGTTTTTTACTTTTTAGCCATTATGAATAATGTTACTATGAACATTTGTGTATAAGTTTTGTGTCAACGTATGTTTTCAGTTCTCTTGGGTATATACCTAAACCTTAGCTCTTTATTTCACTTAAAGAAGTACTGTGAAATGAAAAGTTCTAAATAGAATATGAAGGGAACAGAAGCTGCTTGTCTTTAATAGTATTAAAAACACTATGTGCTTCTCCAAAAAAATAATTTATAGCATAGTTTCCATTTCTTCCACTAGTTAAGTATTGATGATAACAGCACTAAAAAAAATTAAGATTTACAAGCAGAGTGCTAAAATTCTGCTCTTTCACAATTTATATATTAGAAAATTAATTAAAGTAAAAATTAGAAGTTCAACATTGAATATATGAATCTGTTGTTGTTATTAAGGCTAAGAAAACTTTACTTTTGTTAAATAGGTAACTTAGCCTGTTTATGTGAAATATTAAAATTAATCAAAAGTTAATCAGGGTTTCTGTATTTATTATCAATAGACGTTGAAAAAAATATAGGGATTTAATTCTCTTTCTCTCCCTCCCCCTCTCCTTTTTCCTCCCTCTTTCTCCCCCTACCTTCCCGTTCTTCTCTTCCTCCTTCCCCCTTCTCCCTTTAGGGTTCCTTTTGGAATCAGTACAGATTCATTCTAGTTTTCTGTGTAGAGGTAGAGATGAGCATGTTTTCAGGTTGCAGTGAGATAAAAGAATTGTTTTGTTTTTGTTTTTGTTTTTGTTTTTGTTTTTGTTTTTGTTTTGAGACAGTGTCTCACTCTGTGGCCCAGGCTGGAGTGCAGTGGCGCAATCTCAGCTCACTGCAACATCCGCCTCCTGGGTCCGCCTCCTGGTTTCAAGCAATTCTTCTGAATCAGCCTCCCAAGTCAATGGGACTGCAAGTGTGCACCACCACGCCTGGCTAATTTTTGTATTTTTAGTAGAGACAGGGTTTCACCATGTTGGCCAGGCTGTTCTCAAACTCCTGACTTCAAGTGATCTGCCCAGCTCGGCCTCCCCAAGTGCTAGGATTACAGGTATGAACCACTGTGCCTGGCTGAGAAAAAGTATTAATAATTGGACGCCTGTTTATGTCCTTTGAAAAACAAGGAAATGAAGAAAAGGTAGCATTTTGATAGAAAAAGCAATTTCCATATGTATTGAAAAATAGGGGCCAGGTACAGTGGCTCATGCCTGTAATCCCAGCATTTTGGGAGGCTGAGGTGGGCAGATCACGAGGTCAAGAGATCGAGACCATCCTAGCCAACATGGTGAAACCCTGTCTCTACTAAAAATACAAAAATTAACCTGGCATGGTGGCATGCACCTGTCGTCCCAGCTACCCGGGAGGCTGAGGCAGGAGAATCACTTGAACCTGGAAGGCAGAGGTTGCAGTGAGCCAAGATTGCACCACTGCACTCCAGCCTGATGACAGAGTGAGACTGCATCTCAAAAAAAAAAAAAAAAGAAAGGTTATTGAGATAAAATATGTAAATAATACATTAAAATGACAAATTCTACAAAAAACTGTAATTACCAGACCTTATTAAAAAGAAAAATAGAGCTGAGTGCAGTGGTACATGCCTATAGTCCCAGCTACTCTGGAAGCTGAGCCAGGAGTATCACTTGAGCCCAGGAGTTTGTGCCTGGCTTGGGCAAGGTATTGAGACTTTGTCTCTATAAAAACAATTTTTAAAAATAAATAAAAATATTAAATTTATCATAATTATTTGAGTAATGTTCATAAATACTAACAACTGTATATTTTAGTAAGTAAGTAAACATAACCCAAGAAAATCACATTTTCAGTTCGGATTGTCTTTTGTTTGTTCTTTTTCACAGAGCGTATGAAACTTCTAAAATGTATCGTGATTTTAAATTAAGAAGTGCACTAATTCAGAATAAGCAACTAAGACTGTTACCACAAGAACATGTATATGATAAAATAAATGGAGTATGGAATTTATCCAGTGATCAGGTACTGTGTAAAGAACTCGTGAACCTTTTGGGAGAGTGTTTTGGTAATCATTTTTCCATTCATCGTTGGATTTATGTAGTCAGTTCTAATTGTTAAAATTAGCATTATAGGAAAGCATATTATTTTTCGATAAGTACAAGTTAGGTTGACAATAACATCCCTATTTTCAATTCAGTACAATGAAATACCTGATAATCCTGGAATGTCTCCTTAATTAATGAATCAAAAACTCCTGGTGCTATGCTAGGTGGTAAAGATCTAACTATGGAACAGAGTAACTCCACTCCTACCCTTATAAAGAATACAATCTAATGTGGATTGTTGGGGGCTGTTACGTATGTTTTGTTTCTCTCTCTTGCCACAACTCCTTTGCCTTAACCTGTCCAAGGTTTTGATTGATAATTTTAGTAAGGTCTAACATTTAGGCACTATGCTAAGGGATTGATTTACATGGGATATTTAATCAGATCTCCATTTTACATTTGACAAAATACATCAAGAAGAAATTTCCCTGTGGTCAGACAGTTGGTAGGTACTAATGGTTTAATGATTAGGCAGCCTGACTCCAGAGTCCAGGCTGTCAGTCATCTAATTGTACTGCCATCGATAAATGATGAAGTCATTGATACTCAATTTTGGTATTTCTTGCTGCTGTAAAAATAAGTTATTCTGGTGATTAGAAAATTAAGAATAGGTATCCAAAAAAATGATCATTTCTGTATCTCATTGCTGTCTTTTACAGGGCAATTTAGGAACCTTTTTTATTACCAATGTGAGAATTGTATGGCATGCAAATATGAATGACAGTTTTAATGTCAGTATACCATATCTGCAAATTGTAAGTACATACATTTTGATGACCTTATTTTAACATAAAATAAATATTTTTGTTCAATAGTTAATTGGACTTTTAGGATTAGATGAGTTCTCTCTCCCTTTTTTAAGTGGTAGTAGTTATTAGCTGAGGGCATATTTTAAAGATGTTGATAATTTACTATGAAATATTTCAATGTAGAAAAGATCCAGTTGTACTACATTCCAGAGAAGCAGCACCATTATCAACTTGCTATTAGAAGAGAAATATACCGGATTCTAAAAATTTAAATAGTTATACAGAGTAAGGTGTCTTAGATTCCATCTAGAGGGCTTTAATTATTAAAGTTTTCTGTAACTTTTTCATGAGGCAGGTGTGTGGTGCTTCCTTGGCATAGCTTTAGCACACTGATCCACAGTTTTTCTTGGCTGTCTTGTCACTTTCTCCTCTAAAGCTTTTAAAAGCCAGAAGGAATTTATTAATTCTGCAAATGAACTGCTTTCATTGTATTTAGATACAGAATGTAATACGAGCTGGATTCATACCACAGATTTAGTGAAAGGAATCAAGATGATTTTTTGTGATAATACTTTCAGCTTAAGTTCAGTTAAAACTGTTAAAATCAGGCTGAGCATGGTGGCTCATTCCTGTAATCTGAGTACTTTGAGAGGCTGAGGCGGGAGGATTGCTTGAGGTCAGGAGTTTGAGACCAGCATGAGCAACATAGCTAGACCCCTTCTCTATTTTTTTTAAAAAAACAAAACTATTAAAATTCAAAATAAGAACTGACTATATCTGAGACCAGTTTGTTTTGGGAGTAGGTAAAGATAGTTCTTTGTACTCTGCTGTTGCTATGATAAATAAGTGACTCAGTGAAACAAACTGTAAACTTCAATCCACTAAATAATTTCATTTTATGTGAAGAAACTACTTACAGAATTCTAGAACAAATTAGATGGAACATAAAAATAGTTAATGAAAATCTCATGAGGTTATCCTGTGATAATTGCCCTTATTGTAGGATATATAGTCTTAAGACTAAAGAGTTTTATTAATATTTATTGAGTAGACAGAATGTATGTGATACCTGGAAAATACCATTTTTAAGAAAAGAATTCCTGGCCCATGAGAAGAATAATTCTTTACAAAATATTCCCAACCCTATTTTTGGCTAAATTATTTGATTTCTGAGTCTCTTTAAAATTCCTGATAATTCATTCATTTTTATGCCAAATTTTGAGTACCTACTCTGTGCCAGGTGCTAGAGACACAATCATGAAAGTCATGAACCAGTATACAGTTCCTGCCATCAAGGAGCTTTCAGTCTGATGGAGAAAAGCAACGTATTAAACAGAAAGCCATAGAATCTCATAGGAAGAAAATTATTTCTTGCTATCAAAAGAAGCATAAGAATTTATGATCAAGGCTGGGACAATGTAACAAAATCTACATAGGTATTTGATAAATTGGTGTTTGTATTGCTATTGCTTTTTTATATTGCATTAACATGTTATAGCTTGCCTAACCTAACTTCTATTACGCTGAATAATTACTGAGTAGTAAACAACCTTGTGCTTTCTGTTCTTTTTGTTATTTAAGAATTGCCAAATATGGCCTCTGGAATGAATTCAAGCGGCCCAAACAACTTGCAATCTGATATCATCACAGTCTGTCACTGCAGCAGTCAGTCTAACTTCAGCTCCACACCTCAGCCATTACCCTGACCCCACTCCTATAGATATTTATATCAGCTTCTTGCCAGTTTCTTTCTTACCAGCCTGTGTCACCCACAGACACCTGGTTAGATTACCTATTGAAAGCCAAAATGCCAGTGTTCTGTGATTCTTTTTTTCTTTTTATAGACAGGGGTCTCACTCTGTCACCCAGGCTGAGTACAGTGGCATGGTCTTGGCTCACTGCAACCGCCACCTCCCAGGTTCAGGTGATCCTCTCACCTCAGCCTCCCGAACAGCTGGGATCACAGGTGTGCACCGCCATACCTGGCTAATTTTTTTGTAATTTTTGTAGAGATGGGGTTTTATCATGTTTCCCAGGCTGGTCTCAAACTCCTGGACTTAAGCAGTCTGCCCACCTCAGCCTCCCAAAGTGCTGGGATTACAAGCATGAGCCACTGCCCCTAACCAGTGTTCTATGATTCTTAACTGGGATTGTATATACTCTTGGTGGGGTGTAAAGTAGCCCAGGTGAAAGGCCAGGTTTTCATAACAATTATCATCAAAGCCTTTCTTCTTTTTCTCAGTCTGTTTCCCAAAGTTGCCTGCCTGTCTAGAAGCATGGCATCCCATCATCACCTGCCAGATTACCCTTCTCTGGGCTTTCGGTCTCCTGGTCATAGTGTTAGGTCCTCCGTGGTTCTCCCGTACCCTGCCAGCAGGTACATTTTCTATCACTTCTACAGGCCCTACCTGCCATTCTGCGTCTATTCTCCCCTTTTCCCAGGCCACTGGTGTCACCGCCTATCTTCCGCTGACCAAGCTTAGTCCTCACATCACATTTACCAGTTGATGTTAATGACACTTGATCTATCCCAGCCTTCCTTGATGTCTAGTGATAAATATTCAAACTTATTTTTAAAACTTAAATAGAATGGAGGTTCTTTTAAGAATGTAGCCACCTATGATGGAAGAAACAGAAGGCACATGTGACTTTAACAAACTAATCTAGCCTTAGGAGCTACAAAAGACACTGGCTTACCAAAACTGAAAGATTCCTAGCCTTTTGTTTAAAAGTTCAGACTGGGCACCGTGGCTTATGCCTATAACCCCAGCACTTCAGGAGACTGAGAAAGAAGGATTGCTTGGCCGGGCGCGGTGGCTCACGCCTGTAATCCCAGCACTTTGGGAGGCCGAGACGGGCGGATCACGAGGTCAGGAGATCGAGACCATCCTGGCTAACACGGTGAAACCCCATCTCTACTAAAAAAATACAAAAAAAAAATTAGCCGGGCGAGGTGGCGGGCGCCTGTAGTCCCAGCTACTCTGGAGGCTGAGGCAGGAGAATGGCGTAAACCTGGGAGGCGGAGCTTGCAGTGAGCTGAGATCCGGCTACTGCACTCCAGCCTGGGCGACAGAGCGAGACTCCGTCTCAACAACAACAACAACAAAAAAGGATTGCTTGAAGCCAGGAGTTCCAGACCAGCCTGGGCAGTGTAGTGAGACCCCTATCTCTACAAAAAATTAAAAAGTAGCTGGGCATGGTGGCACATGCCTGTAGTCCTAGCTAATCAGGAGGCTGAGGTAGAAGGAGGATCCCTCAGCCCAGGAGTTTGAGGCTGTGGTGTGCTATGATCACGCCACTGCACTCTGGCCTGGGTGGCTGAATGAGACCTAATTAATTTAATTGTCTCTAATTTTAAAAAATGTTCACTCCCTGGAAGTGAGAAATATTTGAGTCAGGGAATTTTGTGCCTATTTCAGAGATGTCTTTCTTGTGTTGCCTCTTAAAAGTTTGCCACCTATTTTCAGTCTTGTTTCTTTTATTTGATCTCTGCGGGAGTTTAATGAAGGAAGGAGGAGAATTCTGTTCTTTAGATTATGAAAAGTAAATACTGTGGAAAGTTTAAAAACTGAGTTAAAGAGTCACTATTCAATTAATAAAAACTTGCATGTTTTTCTTTTTCATTTTGTATCTAGCGTTCAATAAAGATTAGAGATTCAAAATTTGGTTTAGCTCTTGTCATAGAAAGCTCTCAGCAGGTAAGATCTTGTTTATTTTTATTAATCTTTGATTTTTAAAACTATGTGACAGTCTAGATTTTTAGTTTTATTTGTATAGTAATCAGTTTACATCTGAGAAGAATATTAGCTTTAATATAAAGTTATATATGAAGCGTTTGAAGTCATACAGAAATTGTCCCCAGAGGAAGAATCCTGCTTATGTTTTTTTGTTGGACAGACATGATCATTTGTGATCATCACTTATTAATGACAGAATCAAGTCATTGTGCTGAGGGCTTTTCATGCATTATCTCAATCTTTACACAACCCTATGATACAGCTACTATTTCTCCTCCATTTTATAGTCAAGGAAACAGGCTTTGAGAAATTAGGAATCTTACCCATGATCTCACAGCTAGTAAGCGATGGGACTAAGCTATGATCTCAAGTCTGACTGATTTACCAAGACTGTCTTTGAGAAACACAAACATATATTTGTGTACACACACACGATTTGAGGTCTTATATTCTCACACACACATTATATGCTATTTATAACCTGCTGTGCTCCATTATGCCAGGTTTTTGCAGAAATGCATTTAAATAAAACAAGCTGGTCTCATGGTAGTAGTTTTGACTGGCTAAAATTTTAAATACACTTCTTAAAAGTGATTTATAAAATTACTTATCTACCTTCTAAATTTAAACATGAATGTCTGCTTATTCCTTTCCCCTGGCCTACAGCTGCCATTTATTATTTACTGTGTTCCAAGAACTGTACCAAATGTCATATATATGTTTCTCTTATTTAATATGACAACTTGATAACCATTTTATGGTTAGAAAATTGAGGCTTAGAAAGGTTAAGGAAAGTTTCTAAGTATCCTACAGCTAGTGAATTAGTGGTAGAACCAGAATTTGAACATAAAAGCATGTGCTCTTAACCCAGAACATATACTCTCATCTATTACGGTATGCTACTTAGTTTTTTAACACTCCTCTCAAAACACTGTATCATGGCCCAGTTTCTTTCCTAATTCTTCAAGGAGATAGCCTCAGATGGCCTGTTTCCTTTCTTCTTTTCATGTAGTCTGTTCCTTTTCAAGGCCTAGTTCAAGAAAAACATAGTTCCCTTGGCCTTCACAGTCTACAGTGTATTTTTTAAATCTTGAAAGGTTACCTTTGATATTTCAGATGAACTTATATTTGGATATACTTCAAAATAAGCCTGCGTTGGGGGAGGAGGGGTTCAGGTGAGAGTGAGGTTACAGATGAAACAGAGTTGGCCACGTGTTGCTGCTGCTTGAAGCTGGATGATGGCTCCGTGGAGGCTCCCTTGTGCTCTTCTGTTTTTGTATATGTTTGAAATTTTTAGTAATAAAAAGTTTAATTGAAAAAATGAACTTATGTATTATGCTCTAAAATGAGGACAATTTGAGCGATAATTTATCTTATACTATGAATACTGTTCTTCAGACTTATTGGGTTTTTTATTATTATTTTATCTTGTAGAGTGGTGGATATGTTCTTGGCTTTAAAATAGATCCTGTGGAAAAACTACAAGAATCAGTTAAGGAAATCAATTCACTTCACAAAGTCTATTCTGCCAGTCCCATATTTGGAGTTGATTATGAGATGGAAGAAAAGGTAATTTGTTGAGTATGTGAAATAAAGTTTGCATTGCTTTTATGCAATCTATAAAATTCAGATGTAAATACCACTGTGCACCATTTAATTTTGAACTGTGTTTAAAATGGTGAATATACAGATTCTGTCCAAGTGGGCACAGCTCCTGGATTATCACTCATTGGTATCTACCACCTGTCTTCTAATTGGCTGCTTCATCATTCATTCCTGCCCTCCATACCTGCCCTTGTAGGTGGGCAGCCACCTAAGTAAATTTCCATGTGCAATGCTCCTCTGATACAGACAGACTTGAGTCTCTCTGTCAGATTTTTATTTTACTTCAGCCCCCTATGAGCATGGACAAACCTTACAGGCCTCATAAATACCATCTTCTTCCTTAGTACTCCACAATATAGCAACTCCAGGAGTAGGCTACATCAACACGGCCTGCATCCATTCCTGTTGATCCGTACTTCTGCCATATCAGTTATGAAATATTTTGCATATCCTGCCCACATGTCTGCTCTTTGTCTTCTTCATGATTTCTTTCCTGGTTGCTGCTAGTATTCCCTGCTCTCCAGGTACATGAGCTCTCTTTTGGCTTCACTTGTCTCTCCAGCTGGGACCCTCATCATCCAGTCTATCAGTTGTGTCCTCACTACCCACTCCATTACAGGTGTCCTTTGTTACTTATGTTATTGTCCACTCTATCACCAGTACTCTTTTTTTTTTTTTTTTTTTTTTTGAGGCGGAGTCTCGCTCTGCCGCCCAGGCTGGAGTGCAGTGGCCGGATCTCAGCTCACTGCAAGCTCCGCCTCCCGGGTTCACGCCATTCTCCTGCCTCGAGACTCCCGAGTAGCTGGGACTACAGGCGCCCGCCACCTCGCCCGGCTAGATTTTTGTATTTTTTAGTAGAGACGGGGTTTCACCGGGTTAGCCAGGATGGTCTTGATCTCCTGACCTCGTGATCCGCCCGTCTCGGCCTCCCAAAGTGCTGGGATTACAGGCTTGAGCCACCGCGCAGTACTCTTGCTAGAGGTGCTAGCTCTGATGTACTTGCTGTCCCCTCTATTGTTGGTGCCCCCCACTGTCTGCTCTATCACTGGGACAGTCACTGTCCAGTCTGTCAGAGGTGCCCTTGCCATTTGCTCCACTGCCATTGTCCTTGCTGTCCTCTCTGTCCTGGTCCCATCACTGATCACTCGATTATAGACTCCCTTGCTGTCTGTTCTTTTACTGGCACCCTCATTATGCACTCTATTGTTGGTGCCCTTGCCGTTTACTTTATGATCGGTGCCCCTGCTGGGGCTTCTTCGCATGCTGAGCCATGTCACAGCCATTAGTTGTATCTCTCCTTCTGCTCTTGGACTACAGCATGTGACTTTAGTGAGGCCCTTGTTGCCTGGTAGTGCTCCTTGTACTTAATTTTTTCCCTCCCTGTCAAATACTATGTATTTATCCTTCTAGCTAAAACTTGCACATCTGGGTTTCTGACATTGTATTACATACACTATGTATTTCATCATCTGAACCATCCTTTCTTTTTCTTCCCAACTTGCTGTTCTTTCAGCAGTCACCCTTTCACTCTGCCTTCTCTGTATATTCCTTGGTAATATCACCTGCTTGTTCAGCTTCTTCAACTTGTACTTTTGTGGATGACTCTAGATCTTTCCTTCTGACCTTGACATATTCTTTCAGCTTATGGTTCCAAATACCCTTTAATATTTTCATATAGATAAGCATCCCAAATGACATTAGTGAAATTTCTTATTTCAGATTTATCTTAGTAATTTAAATAATTATGCAAGTCAATAAGATACACTAGGACTTGGATGAGCATCTCAAACTTGGCATACCTAAAACTGGCCTCCTCATCTTTTTCTCAAAAGCAGCAACCTGCTGATTTATTGATTGTTTACTTATGTTTTTGGCACTGTCGAAGTCAACTGCACTCAAAACTTTGAAGTATTCCTTCATTTTTCCCATTATCTTATTTTACATTTTCAGTTATACCAGTCTCCTCTCTGTTTCTAGCTATTATTATTCTTTGTAAAATAATGTTGTAGAACAGGCATGGTCCTTAGAACCTGACTTTCAATCCCAGTTTCATCATTTATTTGTGATCCTAAGCAAATACGAGCTTCAGTTTTCTCAGAATTGATATAGGGCTAGCCACGGTGGCTTAAGCTTATAATCCTAGCGCTTTGGAGCAGCTGAGGGGGAGAATCACGTGAGGCCAGGAGTTTGAGACCAGCCTCAACATAATAAGACAACATAGTGACAACCTGTCTCTACTAAATTTTTTTTAAATTTTAAAATTTTTTAACTTTAATTTAAAATTTAAAATTTTTAAATTTAATTTAAAATTTAAAATTTTTAAATTTTTAAATTTTAGATTTTAAATTTAAATTTAAATTTAAATTATAATAAAAATTAAATTTTAATTTTAAATTTTAAAATTTTAAATTTAAAAAAAATTTTAATTTTAAATTTTAAAATTTTAAATTTAAAAAAAATTTTAATTTTAAATTTTAAAAATTAACCAGGTGTGGTGGTGGCCTGCCTGTAGTCTTAACTACTCAGGAGGCTGAGATGGGAGGATTGCTCGAGGTCTGGAGTTTAAGGCTACAGTGAGCTATGATCATGCCATCGCACTGCAGCAGTGACCTATCTCTTAAAGCAAGACCCTCTCTCTTAAAAAAATAAAAGAGAAAAACAGACATAATCTTTCTTAGAAAGTTATTGATCATGTCCATTAAATGCCTGGCACATGGGAGATGCTTGACAGGTTAATTCCCCTACCCATTCTCTAAGTTTCGTTTGTTCTCTTCTTCTGTTCTTTGACCCCAGTACATAATAGCAGCTAGCCATAATAGCTCACTGTCTCACCTCATGTGACTCCCTACTCAAATGCCATCTCTTCAGGATCTTCCCTGACTGTTCTTCTAAAACAGCAATTCCCATCACTTTATTCTGCTTGCTTACTTTCTCTCTCTCTCCTTCCTCCCTTCCTTTCAGAATTAATCAGTCTCCTCCACTATAAGTGATCTCCATGAAGTCAGCGTTTTTTGTCTGTTTAATGGCTATATCTCCACCAGTCAAAACTAGCACATAATAGTGAATATTCATAGTTGTTGGATGACTGTGTTAAACATCTGCTGTTTGTCATTCACTGCTCTAAGCACTTTATATGCACCATCACATTTAATCTTCCCAACGATACTGTGAGGTGTATTATTATCCTTATCCTGCAGTTAAGGAGACTGAGGCTTAGTTAATTTACTTGCACACAGTCACACAACTCTGAACGTGGTTGAAACACTAAGGCTATCCTCAGCTTTGTTATAACTGCTTTTTGTAGGTTGAATCATATGATAGTGTTGGTATTTTATCATTTTGACAAAAAAATGGTAGTTTCTTATGATTCAACATAATATTTAGTTATCGGTCATTGTGTTTTCTCTTTTTCTCTACTCAGTAAATTATAAACCCTTTGTGTTTAAGGGTAGGATTTTATAACCCTTGTTAGTACTGGCATAGTACCTAATATAACAAAGGGGATATTCAAATATTTGAAAAATGAACAAATAAATAAGTGTTAGTTCTACATTTTATTCTTTACCTTTAGAATATTCCATAAAAATATTTGTTCTTTTACTTTTCACAAATTCTATATAATGACTATTCTGAGGAAAATTGAACATTTGCTATTATGCAAAACTTAGTTTTTCTAAACAATGTGAAAGAAACAAAGTCAACTCAGAGTTTTTTCTTTAAAGATATCTGAGTATTAAATATGTGTAAATTTCTCTCTCTAGTTATTTTCATAATATTGACTTCAGATATGAAAGCTTAGGTTTACTCGATTAGTTTTATTACTCAAGTTAGTTTTTTAATAAAACAACATGAATTATATCATGATTTTTATAAACTTTAGTAGTTTGTAATTGTTATTTTAAAAGTATTTGCAGTTCTCATGGTACATTTAATATTGTCTCTGATGCATTTTAACATCTGCTGATTTCCAGCCCCAGCCACTTGAAGCTCTGACAGTCGAACAAATTCAAGATGATGTAGAAATAGACTCTGATGATCACACGGATGCTTTTGTGGTGAGCATCACAAAGGAGAGCATTAAATTTCTTAAGGATTTTATCTCAGTCTTGTTTAATAAAATAATAGTGTAAGTGTGTGAAACACCATATAACTTGAGATTTTGATGGTATCTTATACCTGAGTTTGAAGATAATATTTTTAGTGAGGGATTTCTTTTGTGACAATAACTTTTAAATTACCAAAATCAGAAATACTTTGAAGCCAGGCACTGTGGCTTACACACGTGTAAGCCCAGCACTTTGGGAGGCCGAGGCAAACAGATTGCTTGAGGATAGGAGTTCAAGAGCAGCCTGGCCAACATGGCAACATGGCAAAAATCCATTTCTATAAAAAAAGAAAAAAAAGGAAAGAAATACTTTGAAAACTTAGTTATTCAGAGGATTTTAGGATTTTAGATATGTAAAGTTTTTTCATACTGTGAATAGAACATGTTAAATATTGTTAATTAAGTTAATTTAAAATCTGTACTTTCATTAATTTTTATGAAATGTTCATCTGTTATTTTATAGGGATCATGTTTTGAAAAGGACATGTATTTGAACAATAGCCTTCCTGTTTCCAAATTGGTATCATTTAACTTATAGCCAAAATAATAGTGCTTTCTCCATTCTATGGCTATTAATCTGACTAGAATACCTGTCTGGTAACATACTTTGAAACAAAGGTGTGAAATTAGTATAAAATAATTATGCTACTACCTCAAACTATATTCATTTGCTGACACATTGAAGTACTTGTTTTGTTTTCCCAGTATTATCTTCTAAACCAAATGTAGGGAAGAAATTGTATAGCTTCTAAGTCATTCTTTTTCTTTTCTTTTTTTCTCTTTTTTACCTGTTTCTTGCCATATGACGGTTAAGTCATTCTTTTTTATCTCCTTTCAAGTTAACAGTGCTAATCATACATTACAAAGCACATTTTTTTACAACTTAAGGTATAACTCTTGTAAACATTAACAGAGTGAATTTTGCTACCAGCATTGTAGAGATAGATGAAAAAAACATTACACAGTAACAGAATGTGAAATACATTTAGTTATAAAATCATCCTGCAAATTAAGTACCTTAGCCCACTGATCTATTAGAATATTATATGTCCAGTGTGTGAAATAGAATTTTCTTTGTCTTATAGGCTTATTTTGCTGATGGCAATAAGGTAAGGACATTTATTTTACCTACAGTATATGAAAAAAGTTTCTAAATTCCAACATTTCGCATTCACAAACTTATGTGAAACCTATTTTTTTGTTTTTTTCCTCTTCCTTGCCCACCTTCTCTATTCCCATCTTATCCTCCTGTCTCCCAAAAAGCAACAAGATCGTGAACCAGTATTTTCAGAAGAACTGGGGCTTGCAATAGAGAAATTGAAGGATGGATTCACCCTACAGGGACTTTGGGAAGTAATGAGTTGATTGATCTTGAGTTGAGATGGATTTCTATTAAAGATGTCTCTAGTTTAAAGATACTAGTCACCTGCCATAAGTCATGGAATAGTTTTTATACTTACAGCTTTTATATTTAAAACTTGTAAGAGTTTTTTTAATGATTGAGGAAAAAGTCATTTAGAAAACTTCAGTTTTCTAAAAATTGTATTTAAAATTGTCATCAAAATGTACCTAGTTTATAAATGTTTATTTTGTACTTAATACCTGTAAAGTCTTAGTTTTCAGATATTAAGTGACTGTATCATGTTCGGTTTAATAAAGAATTTATGCAGTACCATTTAACGTTTTGAAAGTATTATTTAAAAGAAAAAGACTATTCTTATGGAATAATCAAAATTCTGCTTTTTTAATTGTAAAAATCTGGTTTAAATATCCCATGGCTCCTGGCCAGCCATGGTGGCTCATGCCTGTAATCTCAACACTTTAGGAGGCCAAGGCAGGCAGATCACTTGAGGTCAGAAGTTTGAGACTAGCCTGGCCAACATGGTGAGACCTGTCTCTACTAAAAATATAAAAATTAGCTGGGCGTGTGGTGGGCACCTGTAGTCCCAGCTGCCTGGGAGGCTGAGGCATGAGAATCACTTGGACTTGGGAGGTGGAGGCTACAGTGAGCTGAGGATTGCACCACTGCACTCCAGCTTGGGCAACAGAGTAAGACTCCGTCTCAATAAATAAATAAATAAATAAATAATCACATAGCTCCAAATGTAAACCAACTCTAATACAAATTGTAATCCTTAAACCTGTCATTTTTGTAAAAACTAAAAATTACAACTAACTCTGGAATACATCAAGCCCCCTTTAAAGTGTTTTGGATGCTATTTTGTAAGAATTTCAATGTAGTTTTGGCAAGAATACATTTACTCTGTAAGAAAATAGTTTTGTTTATTAGCTTTCTCTTTGTATTTATTGAAACTTCTTTGAATTTTCAGAAATAGGATATTATTTTTCTCATTTCTTGGTTAGCTAAGACTTCTTGACTTCTAGCATCATTCAGTGTTTTTGACCACTGTTTCCATGTAAAACACATTGTAAGGAATCTTTTTCAAATAATTGAAATTAGCCAAAGGAGTCCTCTTCTTCCAGACGGAAAAGTTTGTAAAAACATTTAAAATAAGATGCAATTCTGTATACAACCATAGACATACAGTACAACCAAGTACTAACCTCAGTTTATTAAAAATCAACAAAAGCTACAAACTGGTTTCTTCATTTAAATGGAAAAGGATTTCTACATTTTAAGGGTTAGAATTATAATAAACTACCTTTGTGACGGGGGGAAAGAGTGTATGAAAAATTTGTAGTGGTCACAGATAAAATGCTGCCATAACTGTTATTTAAATATTTTTTTTCAAGCAAAAGAGACTATAAAATTGCCAACTAGTAAGTAATACTCTCAGATGTCATATGATGTTTGTTTCTGACTCATTAATCTTTTCAAATGTTAGATTTTACGTGTAGAGAGAAATGAGTCATTTATTGTTTAAACAAGGAAGCAGCTGTTAGTTTTTTCTAGCGTGTTAAAACCTTTAGTGGCATCTATAAATGGAAAAAGAGTCAATGAGCTCTTCTTTCAGCTGTTGTTTTAGCAGCTGACAGTACCATTGATTTCACTGTGATGTAAAATAAAAGAAAAGGCCTTAACTCATGGACAGAAACCTTGAAGTTTAAAAATACATAATTCCTTGATCTGGGGCATTCATTCATTCAACAAATATTTATAAAGCACTCACAAAACCCCTAGGCTGTATCATTTGAAAAGAACAGACACTCCCACAATCCCTGCCTTCATGGAATTTGTTTTGGGGGACATGTATAAGAACACCAACTTTTGAAATTACAGTATTTCTACAGCCCTACTTGAGTTCAGATAATGTGACAATATGACTATGTAATAAAGTATTTAATGGGACAGGTGTGGTGGTTCACATATGTAATCCCAGCACTTTGGGAGGCCGAGGTGGGTGGATCACGAGGTCAGCTGTTCGAGACCAGCCTGGCCAACATGGCGAAACCCCGTCTCTACTAAAAATACAAAAATTAGCCAGAGGTGGTGGAGGGTGCCTGTAATCCCAGCTACTCAGGACACTGAGGCAGGAGAATTGCTTGAACCCAGGAGGCAGAGGTTGCAATGAACCAAGACCATGCCATTGTACTCCAGCCTGGGTGACAGAGCGAGACTCCATCTCAAAAATAAATAAAAGTATTTAATGAAGTATATGATACCATCTATATATAAACAAAGGACCAATTTTCTTTCAAATCATGACTTCTACATCCATAATTAATATGGTATTCTATTATAATCAACAACTTTCATTATGTCCCCAGTTATATACTCTTTTTAAAAAAGTGGGGGGGCTGTTCTCTATGACTGTTGTGGTACTTCATCTTGATTTTGCTGTGTTCTAGTGACAACATTGTTCTCATGGGGTTATATCTGTTCTATTTTTTAAGCTGTAATGAATGATAATTTTTGACACTTTAAAAATTACAGGTTATCTTTTGTGATCTGATTTGCATGTGTGTGGGCTTTTTCGTTCCCTACCATTGACTTTTAATTATTTTTTCTGGCCCTGTGATTCCTTTTAACCTTTTGCTTTTATTTTACTGTATTATAATTTGCCACATTAGATCCTTTGTACAACAAGCCAGGATATTAATAAATAATTTTATAATTTAATTCAGTATTAATTACAGTTTTTCCATGTAAGAATAAAGATAATTTGGAATGTTTTAGAAAATTAGCAATTCCTCTGCATTTCTTATTTCAATTATCATGGCAACATTAAAGGTTTTGTAAAACTAGTACATAAGTAACATCTTTAAGTTTACTACTTCTAAAAGAAATATCTATATCCCACTGTTTTGAGTAGAAAGTAAAAATTTGTATGTAACAATTATTGGAAATGGGATCTTGCTTATGAGTATTCAAATGAACACATCTCATATTCTTGACCTTTGCATCATTAATTCAGACAGTCAAGTAGCTTGACACTAGAACATATTTAGAGGAGTGACTCATTTTTATGATTCATTTTTCTGTTAATTCAATAAACATTTTCTTGTAGCAGCCTTTATTAGTATATCTTCTAATGCGTTATTTTTAAGCTTTCAACTTCACTTAAATATCTTGTTTCTTAGCTGTTTCCTCAGTGACTAAATGTTCCAGTTGTTACTTTCAATCTATAACAGCTGCAAGAACAACTCTTCTTTCCAAGCCAGCTCTCCTAAATTCCCGTTGTTAGAGTTGGTATCTATATTTAGCTGGTGGGATTAAATTGCAAAGGCTTCAAGCTGGGCAAAGCACACTGATCTGCCTTTTTACAGCTAGACCTGTGTGCTGCAAGGAGCTAAGGCCTTCAGTGTCCCCTTCCTTACCCAGGTTACTCACAGAATGGATTCCCAGCGGGAACTTGCAGAGGAACTGCGACTTTACCAATCCACCCTTCTTCAGGATGGTCTAAAAGATCTCCTGGATGAGAAAAAATTCATCGATTGCACCCTAAAAGCAGGTGACAAAAGTCTTCCTTGCCACAGATTGATTTTGTCAGCTTGTAGTCCTTACTTCCGTGAGTACTTTTTATCTGAAATTGATGAAGCGAAAAAAAAGGAGGTAGTGCTAGATAATGTGGATCCTGCTATACTTGATTTAATCATCAAATACCTGTACTCTGCCAGTATTGATCTCAATGATGGAAATGTGCAAGATATTTTTGCACTGGCCAGCCGCTTTCAGATCCCCTCAGTGTTTACTGTCTGCGTTTCTTATCTTCAGAAAAGACTTGCTCCTGGTAACTGTCTAGCCATCCTAAGATTAGGACTTCTCCTTGACTGCCCAAGACTCGCCATTTCTGCCCGTGAATTTGTGTCTGATCGCTTTGTACAGATTTGTAAGGAAGAGGACTTTATGCAACTGTCTCCACAGGAACTGATCTCAGTCATTTCAAATGACAGCCTAAATGTGGAAAAAGAAGAAGCAGTATTTGAGGCAGTGATGAAATGGGTGCGAACAGACAAGGAAAACAGGGTTAAAAACCTTAGCGAAGTGTTTGATTGTATCCGTTTTCGCCTTATGACAGAAAAATATTTTAAGGATCATGTTGAGAAAGATGATATAATTAAAAGCAACCCAGACCTCCAGAAAAAAATCAAAGTTCTAAAAGATGCTTTCGCAGGCAAACTCCCAGAACCTAGCAAAAATGTGCAGAAGTCTGGGGCTGGTGAGGTGAATGGTGATGTTGGTGATGAAGATTTACTTCCTGGTTACCTGAATGACATTCCCAGGCATGGAATGTTTGTAAAAGACCTCATCCTCTTGGTTAATGACACAGCAGCAGTGGCTTATGACCCCACGGAAAATGAATGCTACCTTACTGCACTGTCTGAGCAGATTCCCAGAAATCATTCCAGCATTGTTACCCAGCAAAATCAGATATATGTGGTAGGAGGACTATACGTGGATGAAGAAAACAAGGATCAACCTCTACAGTCATACTTCTTCCAGGTAAGGAGGACTTTTTATATATGTAGTTGCTTCAAGGGAAGGCTGTTACTCACCATCCAGTTAGCCAATTTGTGAATTATTCAGGCTGCTTGCATTTTACTCTAATTGATGTCCTATTCTAGTCCCTTGCACTTTTGCTGTATAGAGTGTTGACAGAAAAATATTTGACTGTTTTGTTAATGTGTAATAAAAAGTTTGATGAATAATGAGGTTCTAATTCATGTTTAATGACTTAAGATACTCTTTATACTATTTTTCCAAAAATGCCTTGTTTATAGATGATGGTGACTGTAATCCCTCAAAGCCCAGTATTTTAGTAAAAACTAAATTTATTTTTTCTTAGCAGAGACGGGCTTTCACTATGTTGCCCTGGCTGGTCTCGAACTCCTGGGCTCAAGCAATCCTCCCAGTTTGGCTTCCCAAAGTGCTGGGATTACCGTTGTGAGCCACCGTCCCCTGCTGTAAAAACTAAATTTAATCTTGTATACTCTTACCTATTAAAAATAGGTTAATGTTTTTCCCCAAATAGTTGCCCTAACTCAAAGTTCTTATACATTATAAAGAAGTGTAATAACTGGTCAGATTTTCTTTTTTAATTTTTTTCTTCTTCATCTGCTGGCAGCTCTAAATTGGTCAGATTTTCTACCTTCTTCCAAGTTATCCTGAACTCATTTGAAGTTCTTGGAGGTAGCACTTCATCTCTTATTTATAGTTACTGCTTAAAATATAATTTTGTTGAAAATGAAAAAAACTTATGTACATGTTCTACA